CACCTTTCTGAGGGCTTCAAGTGTGGGGGCAGGGTAAGAAGGTCTACCCAAGAAAGCAAGCCCAGGTGGCGCAGCGGTTACAGTGCGCCACCACTAACCCAAAGGCCTGAGGGTCACACCCAGCGTTCCCCCGAGGGAGACAGACGAGGCAGTCCACTTTCCGAAAGATGACCGCCTGGGAAACCCTGTGGGGCCGCTCCTCCCCATCCTGTCGTTGTTGGGTGGCTGTGAGTCCGTCCTGACTATTAGCCACCCGAGGGACAACAGAGCGAACACCGCCCGGTCCCTACATCCTGACGATTGCTCTCGGCGTCCAGCATCCCTTTGTCTGGGCGTCTCTCCCTCTCTGTGGGGCTCTCCGATCCTCCTGACTCTTTTTACTGCGCCGGAGTGATTGGGTTTTGGACCCCCCTGGGTCTGGCCTGGCCCATCACACAGGCACAGCCGGTCCACACAGAGTCCCCTGGCCCAGGCACGGAGGTCAGCATGGCTTGGGGTGGGGAGGGCAGCTGTCACTCTGCTTCTCTCTGGGGCCTCAGCTGAGCCGCTCATCTTTCTCAGAGGAGGAAACGGCCCCTCAGGAGGCTGAGGCAGGAGCCCAGAGCTGAGCTGGGCCCACGAACTCGTGGGCCAGAACCTTCTATGCTTTCATCATGGGGCCAGGCTCTCTATAATGTCCTGGGTTGTAGAGGACAGGGAGGCTGGAGAGTTCTGCAGGGAGTGGTGTGGGACTGTGGGGCACCGTGGGTGGCCCAGTTCCCACCCCCTCTCTGGCCAGCCTCCTGGGAGCTGCCTGCGCACCTATTACCCCCCGGGGATGCGTCTCAGCTGGACCATAAGTGTGTTTGGGGGAAAGCATTGCCCTGAGAGATAACAAACTGAGGATGGTAGCAATTTCTTTCTGGCAGCTTCCTCCGCCCGGGGAGAAAGCCGAGAGAAAATCTGACTTCAAAACCAATTACTGTTCTTCACAACTGCAGGCTCGGGCATGGAGGGAGAGTGTCCCTTTCAAAGGCTCTCTCTGGAGACGGGGAGCAGTTCAGGAGCCACCCCTCCCCCCAGCAAGCATGGTGGGTCTCGGCCATCTGAGCGCTGAGCCAAGGGCTCCCTCCACCACTAAGTGCCCGCTGTGGCTGAGGACAGGGGTCCAGTGGGTCCTGCAGACCCCGAGAGCTGGAAGAGGCCGTGGGAGAGATTTCTAAATGGTGGAGAATCTTCTAAAGCTGGCTTTTCCCTTCCTAGTTCTCTCTTGACTGTCCTGGAGTCTGGATTCAAAACCTGTGGAGTGCCTGCATGTGTATGTGTGTGTG